AGCCTCCCACTCCTATAAATAGCCAAAACCAGACAATAAAATTAATCTGTGGACATAGTGTATTATCAATGCCTAGGCTCAAAACATCAAACTATAAAGACTCCATACAACCTAAAACTACTCAAACTATAAGTTGAGGATATAGTAAATTATTGCTGCCCAGAGTCAAACCATCACCTTTTTTATTAGAACATTTCTTTCAGGGGCACCTAGGTGGCTCAGTAGGTTAAGTGTCTACCTTCTGTTTGGGTCATGATCCCAAGGTCCTGGGATTAAGCCTTGCATTGTGGTCAGGGGAGAGCCTGCTTCTTCCTCTCCATCTCCCTCTCCTCCTCTTCTTGCTTGTGCTCTCTCTCTCTGTGTCAGATAGATAAATAAAAATATTTTTTTAAATGAACTTTTCTTACAAGCTTCATTTCTAAATGTAATTCATGAACTATTAAATTCATGAACAGCTATCATGAACTATTAAACACACACACACAAAATAACTATCAATAGCAGGACAGGTAGGAAGTGTCTGTAGTTGGTGTTCCATTACCTTTCAATCTGGGATAGAGAATTTTATCTTCTATGAGTCATCAAGAATGAAAAAGGCAGAGGGTAACCCAGGAAATGGCACTGCATCTGCTGCAGAAGCTCTTTATCAACAAAATTATTAGAGAAGTTTTATCATAAAATTTACACATTTGTTTCTTCATGAAAAATTTCCTCCCTAATTTCTATAAAGCTAGTATGTGTAGGACATTTGTAAAAGAATAATCCAAAGAAAAAATAAAATCACCACAATCATCTTACCTACAGGGGACAATTCACATTTAATCTGTGGCATAGTGTGATTATTTTCATATGTGTAATTTGATGACTAACACTATTTAACACATTTTACCCATTCCCCAACTCCTGGTAATTCTCTCTCTCTCACACACACACACACACACACACACACAGACACACACACATGGATACACATACAGAATCGGTATCAGTGGTAGGTTACATTTCTCAAGACCTTGGAAAAGTAGTGTAGGGATTACTGGTGGGTTGGCAGGCCCCATCAATAAACACAGTTCCTCTCCATTACAAATATAAAATGTTGGGCGAAAATAAAACATTAAAAAAATACACCCTCAAGCTAGAATGGAATAAAGCAAAACCTATAAGTTCTAACTGAAGAGGAACAGCAGTCCCAAAGTGGTGAGCAGGAGCTGACTTGGAGTTTTTTGTCAGGAACATATGTAGATTCTAGGGGCTGAGGGATGAGTTTTAATACCCATACAAAGAGGGGCGCCAGGGGGTGGCTCAGTCAGTTAAGCATCCGCCTTTGGCTCAGGTCATGATCCCAGGATCCTAGGATGGAGCCCTGTATCAGGGCTCCTGATCAGTGGGTAGTCTGCTTCTTCCTCTCTTTCTCCTCCTCCCCCTTGCTCATACTCTCTCTCTCTCAAATAAGTAAATAAAAATCTTAAAAAAAAGTGAAAAGACAAGCCAAAGAATGGGAAAAAGTATTTGGAAGGAAGACATGAGTGGCTAATAAGTACAGGAAATGATGATCAATGTAATTAGTTATTAGGGAAATGCAAATCAAAATGACCATGCGATACCACTTTACACTCACTAGGATGGCTGTAATTAAAAAGACAGTTTTTAACAAGTGGAGGGAAAAAAAAGCAAGTGGAGGAGAAGATGTGGAGAAATTAGAACGCTTCTATTTTGCTGTGGGGAATGTAAAATCGTGCCACCACTTTGGAAAATAGTCTAGTAGCTCCTCAAAATGTTAAACAGAGCTAGCATATGACTCAGAAGTTTTATTCTCATGGGGAAATGAAAGCATATTGTCCACACAAAATAATGTTTGTAGTAGCATTTTTCATAATAGCCAAAAAGTGGAAAAAATCCAAATGTTCATCATATTTATTGACAATAAAAAGAAATGAAATACTGACCCATGCTACAACATGGATGGGCCTTGAAAATACTATGCTAAGTGAAAGAAGCCAGACACAAAAGGCCACATATTGATTTCATTTATGTGAATGTCTAGAATTGGCAAATTTATAGAGACAGAAAGTCGATTAGTGATTGTCTAGGGCTGATAGATCACTTCATCTTGGAAGCAACATATCTCCACTTCAGCCGTATTCTCTAGGTCACAGAGACCAACGGATCAACACACAAGGGTGTGAACACCAAGAGACTGGGATCACTGGGGACATCTCGAACACGATTTTATATAAACACTGTACCACAGAAACAAATGCCAAACAGATTGTGGCAGAGATGATCCTTGTAGCCTAATATCTTCCTCCTTCTCTGTAGTAATAAGTCCTTCCTGCCCAATTTTAAGCTCATGGGTACCCGCTTTTGCAACTAGGTATTGCTGTTTGATTAAGGTCTGGCCAAAGGGAAGTTCGATGTGTGTATCCTTCTGGAGTGTGTTTATTAAAGAGAGGGGCTGTGACCATTCTTCCTCCTTCTTTTATCCTCCTGCTTGTAATATGGTTGTGTTGGCTGAAGTTCCATTTGAACCATGACAGTTAGGGTTCCATTCTAGGGCTGGTAGATCAGAAAGCTAGAAGCAGAAAAGTGTAGATTTACAATATAAGCCTATATCCACAATTCTAGATTATAATATATTCTATCTTGTTTAAGCATCTGAATAATACAGTATGTAGGGGATAGAATAAATACATGGTAAAATTATAATACTCTACTGAGGGACATAAAGGAAGACACAAGTAGATAGAAAACTGTATTATGCCCTTGTTTAGGAAGACAGTATATTCTAAGAAAGTCAGTTGTTTCCAGATTAATCTATAAAATCCATGTATTTTCAATCAAAATCCTGCACTACGTCTGATAGACTTTACTAAGTTGATTCTAAAATTCAGTTGCAAGACAATAGGTCCAAAAGAGTCAAAACAATTTTTAAGAATAATGAAGAGGGGTACCTGGGTGGTTAGGCATCTGCTTTTGGCTCTGATCATGATTTCAGGACCTTGGGACTGAGCCCTGCATTGGGCTCCCACTCAGTGGAGAGTCTGCTTCTCCCTCCCTCTCTGCCCTCCAACCCCACCCCCTGCTCATGCTCTCCCTACTATTATTGTATTATTGTCAATGAGTTTCTTTCATTTTGTTGTTAACTGGTTTATATAATTGGTGCTCCTAAGTTAGGAGCATAAATATTTACAATTTTACAATTCCGGACTTCAGGCTGTATTACAAAGCTGTAATCATCAAGACAATATGGTTCTGGCACAAAAACAGACATATAGATCAATGGAACAGAATAGAGAACCCAGAAATTGACCCTCAATTCTATGGTGAGCTAATCCTCAACAAAGCAAAAAAAAAATATCCAACGGAAAAAAGTTTCTTCAACAAGTGGTGCTGGGAAAATTGGAAAGACACATGCGGAATAACAAAACTGGATCATTTTCTTAAACCTTACACAAAGATAAAATGGATGAAGACCTAAATGTAAGATAGGAATCCACCAAAATCCTAGAGGAGAACACAGGCAGCAACCTCCTTGACCTAGGCTGTCCACAGCAACTTCTTGCTAGACACATCTTCAAAGGCAAGACAAACAAAGGCAAAGATGAATGATTGGGACTTCATCAGGATAAAAAGCTTTTGCACATCAAAGAAACAGTCAACAAAACTAAGAAGCAAGCGATATATTTGCAAATGTCTTATCAGATAAAGGGCTAATATCCAAAACCTATAAAGAACTTATCAAACTCAACACCCCCAAAACAAATAAACTAGTCAAGAAATGGGCAGAAGAAATAGAGACATTTCTCCAAAGAATACATGCAAATGGCCAACAGACACATGAAAAATTGCTCCACATTACTTGTCATCCTGGAAATACAAATGAAAACCATAATGAGATATCACCTCACACCAGTCAGAATGGCTAAAATTAACAGGTCAGGAAATAACAGATGTTGGTGGGGATGCAGAGAAAGAGGGAATTCTCTTATACCTTTGTGGGAATGCAAATTGGTACAGCCACTCTGAAAAACAATATGGAGTTTCCTCAAAAAAGTTAAAATAGAGCTACCGTATGATCAGCAATTGGACAACTGTATATTTATCCAAAGGATACAAACATAGTGATTTGAAGGGGCACCTGCACCCCAATCCAATGTTTATAGCAGCAATGTCCATAATTGCTAAACTATGGAAAGAGCCTAGATGTCCATTGACAGATAAATGGATAAAGAAGAAGTGGTACTTATATACAACGGAATATTACTTGGCCATCAAAAAAAATGAAATCTTACCATTTGCAATGATGTGGATAGAACTAAAGGGTATTATGCTAGGTGAAATAAGTCAAAAAAACACAAATATCATTTGATTTCACTCATATGTGGCATTTAAGAAATGAAACAGCGGATCATAGGGAAAGGGAGGGAAAAATAAAATAAGGCAAAATCAAAGAGGAGACAGACCATAAGAGACCCTTAACTACAGGAAACAAACTGAGGGTCACTGGAAGGGGAGGAGGGGATAACTAAGTAATGGCCATTAAAGAGGTCATGTGATGTAATGAGCACTGGGTGTTAGATCCAACTGATGAATCACTAAACTTCACCTCTGAAACCAATAATACACTATATGCTAACAAACTGATTTTAAATAAAAGAAAAATTAGAAAAGAAAAAAGCTAACAGAAACAAAAGAAACATTAGAATTATTAGTAAATGAATATTCATGAAAGTCTTTGAGAATAGGAGAAAAATGCCAAACTAATCTGAAGGTCATTACCCTTTTATGACATTATCATTATCATTAGCATCATTACCACCTAACTGGGATGTGAATATCTGGTGAGGAATGATAACTTTTATTTTTTATTTTTTTGAGGAATGATAACTTTTAAAGGAAAAGTTGCATATGTTTTTAGATAATTTTTATCTGATGAATGTTCCCAAATGCTTAATTTCTAAATATTTCTTCCTGCTTCTTTCCTTTCTTTCTCCTGCTAGGAAAGGCACCAATGCCCAGACCCGGCTACAAGCCTCAGGAGCCCAACGGCTGCAGCTCCTATTTCCTGGGTCTTAAGATACCAGAAAGTGTATGTACCACCATCATTATTTTCTTAGTTGATTGTTTTAACTGAGGCAAGTCCAAGAGTTATCAGTGATCAGAGTGATAACTTAGGGAATATAGTTGAGCAGTATAATTACTTTAAACTGGATGCAGAGTAAGGGAGATAATTTTCAGAGAAATCACCTGATTTCCTTTCATCAGAGACAGCTGTCCTCAGATAAGACCTTGTGTAGTGAACTTCAAAATCACCTCTGCTAGTATCAGCCAAATCTTAGCGGATCAGACATCACTTCATCTGAAATCTAACAAGTTTGACTTCTTAAATTTAGTGAGACTTTTCCTGTGATGTGCTGGAGCCATTGGCACTGACCATAGATACTTTTGCAAGTGGTTGATTTCAGGCTGGTAGCACCGAACCAAGTATGTTTAGAGTATCAAGGTCATAGTAATCTGCACACACCCACTCACAAGCATCCAGCCCCCAGCCCCACCCTTGCCCCCAATCTGCCACTGGCTAAACTGCTGGCTGTTTCTCAAACCCCTGGCCTCCCATGAAAACAAGTAATAAACTGATTTATTTTAAGACCTCTTGGAGGCCCCTTTATCTTTTTTTACTTCAGAAAAGAGATGTTATGTAAAATGTAGGTAGAAGGATTTCATATCTAAGCTGTGATTTTTTTTAAAGATTTTATTTATTTATTTGAGAGAGAGAGTGAGAGAGCACACGAGAGAGCTCGAGGTGTGGGGAGGGGCAGAGGGAGAAGCAGGCTCCCACACGGAACTTGATCCCAGCACCCTGGGTTGTGACCTGAGCCGGAGACAGAGGCTTAGCAGACAGAGCCACCCTGGCGCCCCTAAGCCATGATTTTTGAATTGTGTCTTAAACAGGCTAAACCTCACTTTTCTGCTGATTCAAAAGATTTACTTTGTAATAGTTTTCTAAGCAGCTTAATGTTTATTCTTCTATCAAAAATGCTGCCCACCAACGCATTTTTGTGCAAATTGGAAAACTGTCCCCTCGCCTCTTCCATTTGTCAGAACTTTATCTCAATATACTGTTAGAAGAGGAAATTTCACTGCCACTGGCTAGACATTTTTCTTTTTTCTAAAAAAAGATTTATTTTAGAGAGAGAGAGAAAGAGAGCATGGGGGGAGGGGCAGAGGAAGAGAGAATCTTAACCAGACTCTGCTGAGCGCAGAGCCTGACTCAGGGCTCGATCCCATGACCTTGAGATCAGGACCTGAGCTGAAACCAAGAGTCAGATGCCTAACCAACTGCGCCACCCAGGTGCCCTGGCTAGGTATTTTTCTCAATTAGTACACAAATCTATGATATCCCATGGGAAGGTGGCCCTTTTCATATGACACTCTTGCATACTGCATGACCTGCCCAGCTATATGTCCCGCCTTGTCTATGCTCATCAATATGCATATGGACACAGAAGAAAGGCAAGCTTTTCAAATATATATTTATATTAGAGAAATCCTTGTTTTTAGCTCATGTACTTGATGCCAATTTAGAAGCTATGGAAGTGGTACTGAAACCTCTATGGGAATGTAAAAGTGGATGGAAATTAAGATGGACACATTAATGCTTCAGCAAGGCTTGACTTGTGAACAAACTTTTCTCTTTCTTATCCTGGAAACTTCCCTCTCCCCTTCACTGTTTTTCCTGTAGAATCTTTGTTCTAGGAACTTGGTTTGGAGTTGATACCGAGTAACGAGATTTGGAGGGCTGGCACCCATGCTTGAAAACATAAGGGACATGCTGGCAGCATAAATCAGATTCCTACTGAAACTGCCCCCAACCCTGTAATTTCCTATAAAACCTCTCAGCTGCTCACCCCGGGGCTTGCTTGTAGTCTAGGAGGCATTAGCCTGCTGCAGCCTCCTTTGCCTGGCAAAGGAATAAACTAGCTCCCTATTTTAGCCCCAGACTCTGTCTTCATATTACACATTTTGGCTCCAGAGCACAGAGGTCAGTTTTCAACGACAGTAGGCACTCTATTTTGGGAGTAATTTTGGGAGTAATGTCATTTTGTTTATTGGTACTAGTATTGTTTAGAACTAGTTCAAGAGTTTCCAATTGAGTTGAATTGAATGAGAATGACTATACTCATCAAATTTGCAGGCACCTCTGCTGTGATGATATATGTTTAGTTGTAGGGATGAGGTACAAGCAAAATGGTTTACTGCAGAAATCAAATGATAGGAATCTGCCCAGAAGTGCAGAGCCCAGGCTGTTGCCTTGTCTAATGAGTTACATTACCTCTTAATGTAACAATGTGTTTTTTTTTCTTTTTCTCACAAGGGCATTTTATTTTATTTTTTTTATAAATTAATTTTTATTGGTGTTCAATTTACCAACATACAGAATAACACCCAGTGCTCATCCCGTCAAGTGTCCCCCTCCGTGCCCGTCACCCATTCACCCCACCCCCCGCCCTCCTCCCCTTCCACCACCCCTAGTTCATTTCCCAGAGTTAGAAGTCTTTATGTTCTGTGTCCCTTTCTGATATCTCCCACACATTTCTTCTCTCACAAGGGCATTTTAAACTACCAAGGTCACTACTCTGCTTTAGGTGGCCTTGGAGCAAAAATTCAAGTAAGGGAACACTTCAGGAGACCCAAGTGGAAAGGATCTCTAATAGCTGGTTCATCAATCCCCATCCATATTGTGAAATCAGATTTCCACAGTTTCCCCTCAGGTCCAAGTCTGTATGATCAGAAGAACCACAAAAGATTCTAAGATGCTCTGCCTTTGTCTAGACACCCTCATTCCAAAATTTTTCACATACCACCAAACAATTGCTCTCTGTAATCACTCATTCTATCATGCCCCTTCCTTGTTTGAGAATCTTTATCAATTCTTCCTGGTTATTTTGGAAGTCAGGGTCATCCATCAACTTGCCTTTCTCCCTAATTTAAAACACAATAAACAAACAAACAAAAAATCCCTGCTAAGACCCCTGAAAGACTAAACAAACTGACTTGCACACATATGATTTGCTCATACCTCCTTTTTTTTACCTGCTACACCTTAAGTCTACTTTCACTCCTAATCATCCTCTCAAAAAAAAAAAAAAAAAAAAACCCATGTAGAGTTATCAAACTCTAGATTTGGCATTCTATGAACTTAGTTACTCAGTTTATGCACAACATTTACAATTGTTTATAAGATGCTTAATACATATATCTGTGTGTGTGTGTGTGTGTGTGTGTGTTGGCTCTTGCCATTTGACTGCTGTCCCCCTATGGTCAGGAATCATGTGCTCTACAGCTCACTGTGCTCCCTGACACACAAACCTTTAAAACAGTGCTATATGAGATGGGTCCCTAATAAATGCTGATGACTTCTTGATGAAACGAGGCTTAATTTTTCATAATTCTGAGCTTTCAGATCCTTTGCTCAAGCAAAATCTCATATCTTAGGCTTTAGTTGAATTTGGAAGTCCTGCAGCTCTGTCTTCACTAACCTTCTGATCTCTATTTTCATCACTGTCATGGCCTGTGAATTTGAAAATTGCTAAATCTAAAAGAAAAAGAAGAAAATAGGCTACTCAGAGTTAATAAACTAATAACCAAACCATGACTGAAACTTAACATCCTGTGACTGTCAACCTGATGTATTCTCTCCAGTTGGTGTTTCTGAATTGATCTGCATGTATAATCGGAATCTGAGAACTGGTAAGTTAATAACAGGGAGGGCAAGGTTGCCTAAGGTCTAAACGTAGCATTTTCTTCCTTCTCTTTCTTTCATTCACTTTTCTCCAGATGGACTTCGGCATTCCAGCAATGACCAAGTGCTGCAACCAGCTGGATGTCTGTTATGACACTTGTGGTGCCAATAAGTATCGCTGTGATGCAAAATTCCGATGGTGTCTTCATTCTATCTGTTCTGATCTGAAGCGGAGTCTGGGCTTTGTCTCTAATGTGGCAGGTAGGTATCTTAAGGGCATCGTCTGGTAAGCAGGGAGTTTTGTTCCTGTTTTCATACAGAAATGTATCCAGAACCCCGTTACACAAAGAGACCATCAGAGCTTGCTGAACTTTCTTATAGAACACTGTGACAAATCTAAGATGGGCGAAGGAAGAGTCTGGGCATTCCTTCACTAAAGTTCTTGCTGTTCTGCCCAGGAGCTGCTGGCACCACTCCTGATGGACAGTGCCACACCAAAGTCTTCCCAGAGATATAAAAATCTATCCTTCAAGATCAGAGAAAGGGTTGCCCAACTGGCTTTGGTTATTCATTCCACTATTAAATAATTTTCCCTATTAGGAGTAATTCTGTAGAGGACCATTTGGTTTGGTTTAAGCTCTTTTTTCCTTATTTTGTTTTCAGTTAGGGAAATAGGGTTTTAAAACTTATCTTTTTTTGTGTAAAGCTCTCTCTATATACTTGAGGATAATTATTTTTAGTCAACTGCTTAGCTACCTAGTTTCTATCACTGATTGCTGATTGTGTGATTTCTTTTCCCTGATTCACCTTACGGAAAGTTGTAATCCTTTAGTTTCTGAAGCCAGAAAATTACATCCAGGTATTAGCATTATATATTTTTAGTTGGCAAAGTTTGAAGTTTAATCTTATAAGGAGCTGGCCTCATGCCCCTGAGAAAGTCAGCAGTAGAAAGAATCTTGGATCGTTTTCATAGATCAATGTCTAGAGTGTAGTCCTGAAGTGTGAAGGCTTGAAAATATGAATAATTAGTTAGGCCCTGTAAAAGGGAGTATCACTCTATCTGTATCTACAAAAGGTGAATAAGTGCCTGCTGCTAATCTAGAGTTAGGTCAAGTTACTTCCTCTAAGCAATGTTCTATTGATTTATTTCTCCTATCTCTTTGATATGCCACTTGCCTGGTTACTGCAAGTTAATTTAATCTCTGGGTCCCATCTGATCTATTTTCCCCCATAGGGACCAGATATATTTTTGTACCACATGAATCTGGTAATTTCTACTCTCTGTGTAAATCCTTCAATTGGTTCCTCTTCCTTGGGATTAAATCCAAATTCCTTAGTAGGATATACATAGCCCTTTCTGATCCAGCCCTATCCTACCTAATATTTTCTCTCATTTTGTGGGTTTTTTTTTCCACTTTTTTGATGAAATTACTTGCAAAGCAGAAGTTTAATATTTTAGGTACAGTTTATCTATTTTTTTTCCTTTTGTTGCTTGTACTTTTGGTGTCATGTTAGAAGGCTTTGCTTAAACTCAAGGTCACAAAGATTTGCTCCTAAATTTTTTTCTAAGATTTTGTTTTAGCTTTTTAGGTATATGATCCACTTTTAGTTAACTTTTGTGTATGGTGTAAGAGGTCTAACTTCATTCTTTTGTATATGGATATACAGATGTGCCTGCATATTGTTGAAAGACTATTCTTTCTCACATTCAATTGTTTTTTTGCACTCTTATCAAAAATTAATTGAACATAAATTCAGTGTTTATTTCTAGACTTTCAATTCTGTTCCATTGATCTATGCCAGTACCACACAGTCTTTATTACTGTGGTTTTGTAGTAAACTTTTAAATCAGGAAATGTCCTTCAACTTTGTTCTTTTTCAAGATTGTTTTGAATATTCTGAATCCCTTGTATTTCCATATGAATTTTAGGTTCAGCTTGTCAATTTCTGCAAGAAATGGCAGTTGAAATTTTGATAGGGCTTTTGTTAAATCTGTAGATAATTTGAGGCATGTTATCCTTTTAACAATATTATGTTTTCTGATAAATAAACATGAATCTTTCCATTTACTTGGATCTTCTTTAATTTCTTTCAATAATGCCTTATAGTTTTGGAGCACAAATCTCATACTCCTTTGTTTAATTTATTCATAAGCATTAATTTATTTATTTTGTTGTTATTGTAAATAAAATTTTATTAATTTTACTTTCAGATTATTCATTAATAATGTACAGAAATACAACTGATTTTGTATATTGATCTATTATCTGGCAACCTTGCTGAACTCATGTGTTAATTTTGATAGATTTTAGTAAATTCCTTAGGTTTTTCTCTACAGAAGATAATACCATCTACATATCATCTTCCTTTCCAATGCCTTTTATATATTCCTCTTGCCAATTTTCCGATCTAGAACTTCCAGTCAATATTGAATAGAAGTGGTGAGAGCAATGTAGGCAGCAAATAAACAAATGGTACAAAACAAGGTGTCAAAGAAGAAACTAAACGAGAAATAAAAAAAAATATTGAGACAAATGAAAATGGAAACAAAACATACTTAAACTTATGAAATGCAGCAAAAGCAGTTTTAAGAGGGAAATTCATAGACATAAATGCCTACATCAAGAATAAAAGAAAAACCCTGAATAGAAGAACCTAGATTTATACCTCAAGGAATGAGAAAAAGAAAAACAATGGAGCCCAAAGTTAGTAGAAGAAAGGGAATAACACAGATCAGAGCAGAAATAAATTAAATGAAGACTAAAATAACAATAGAAAAGATGTAAATTAAACTAGGAACCAGTCTTTTATAAAAAGATGAACAAAATAGACAAACTGTAGCTAGACTCGCTAAGAACAAAAGAGAGAGGACCCAAATAAAAAAGTCAGAAATGGAAGAGGAGGCATTACAACTGGTATCACAGAAATACAAAGGATCACAAGAGATTACTATGAATAATTATATACTAACAAATTAGACAACTGTGAAATGGGTAAATTCCTAGAAACATACAATCTACAAAGAATGAATAATGAAAAAATAGAATCTGAACAGACTATTAGTAAGGTGGTTGAATCAGCAATCAAAAATCTTCCCACAGGGGATCCCTGGGTGGCGCAGCGGTTTAGCACCTGCCTTCGGCCCAGGGCGCGATCCTGGAGACCCGGGATCGAATCCCACGTCGGGCTCCCGGTGCATGGAGCCTGCTTCTCCCTCTGCCTGTGTCTCTGCCTCTCCCTCTCTCTGTGTGTGACTATCATAAATAAATAAAAAAAAATTAAAAAAAAATCTCCCCACAAAGGAAAGAACAAGATGGACTTTTTAAAGTGGCTTTAACATTTAAAGAAGAATTAATAAGCCATTGAAATGGTTTCAACATATTTATTTATTTATTTATTTTAAAGCCTTTATTTATTTATTCATGAAAGACACACACACACACACACACACCACACACACACACACACACACAGAAGCAGAGACAAGGGCAGAGGGAGAAGCAGCCTCCATGCAGGAAGCCTGACATGGGACTTGATCCTGGATCGCCAGGATCAGCAGATGTCCCGACATCAGAAAACGGATGTCACAGATCCAAGAAGAGCTTGTCAGGAAAGAGCCAATTGACAAGATTTTTTTTTCCTTTTTTCTAATTAACTCTGATTCTCTGATTAATGCATGCTTATAGTAAAAAAAAAAAAAAATCAACAAAGTATCCGTACTTATACCTAACAAATGATCACTTTAAATTTTAGAATACACTCTTTGAATATTTTCTTCTTTTGCAGAATTTCTACTTATAACATCACAATTTTATTCAAATAATAAAATATTATGAATAGCAAAACAAACAAACAAACAAAAAACACCACTGGGCCGAAGGCAGCGCTAAACCGTTGAGCCCCTGGGGCTGCCCAGGCTTCAACATTTAAAGAAGAATTAATGCCAATCCTTCTCAAAGTCTTTAAAAAAATAAAAGAAGAGGGAACACTCCCAAACTCACCTTATGAGGCCAGCATTACCCCGATACCAAAACTAGACAAGGGCGCCACAAGAAAAGAAAATTTCAATATCCTTGATGAATATAGATGCAAAGTCTTTGATAGAATATTAGCAAAACTAATTCAGTAATACATTAAAAGGATCAAACATCATGATCAAGTGGGATTTACAGAAGGGATGCAAAATTGTTTCACATCAGTAAATCAGACAATCTGATACACCACATTAACAAAATGAAGCATATCAACAAAATGAAGCATATCATATGGTCATCACAAAAGATGCAGAAAAAGCATTTAACAAAATTCAACATCCATTTGTGGTAAAAACTCTCAACACAGTAGGTATAGAGGGAACATACCTCAACATAATAAAGGCCATGCATGATAAGCCCACAGCTAACAAAACACTCAATGGAGAAAAGGGGAAAGCTTTCCCTCTAAGATCAGGAGCATGGCAAGGGTGCCCACTTTCACCACTTTTATTTAACATAGTATTGGAAGTATTTTAGCCAGAGAAATTAGGCAAAAAGAAGAAATAAAAGATATCCAAATTGGAATGGAAAATGTAAAACTGTCACTGCAAATGACATGATATCATATATGGAAAATCCTAAAGACTCCACCAAAAAACTTAAAACTAATAAGCAAATTCAGTAAAGTTGCAGGATACAAAATTAATATACAAAAATCAGTTTTGTTTCTATACACTAATAATGAATTATCAGAAAGAGAAATTAAGAAAAAGATTTCATTTACGACAGCATCAGAAAGAATAAAATACCCAGGAATAAATTTAACCAAGGAGGTGAAAGACCTGTGCATTGAAAACTATAAGACATTGATGGAAGAACTGAGGATGACACAAAAAAATGGGAAGATATTCTGTGATCATGGATGAAAAGATTCAATATGCTTAAAATGTGCATACCCAAAACAATCTAGTTTCAATGTAATCCCTATCAAAATTCTAATGGAAGATGTTCTGAGATGCCTTCCCTTCCCTAATAACCCTTGCCCCTAAAGGGATAGAGACTCTTTCTGGGGGTTCCCATACCACCTTGATGTCACTTCCATAATGGTGTAGTGTAACCATTGTTTACCTGCCCATCCTGTCCACCTCTTAGTCCAAACTGCGAGTACTTGAGCTGGCATCTCTTTGGTCTTTGTATCCCTTACCTAACAGATTGGCTGACCAATACACATGGTTTTTCAATGAGTGAACTGTTAATTATCCCACACCTGGACAGAGAAAGCTGTAGGAAACATACAGTTACCTGAGGGAATGTTCTGCACAAATGGTAGAGTTCCATGGAGTATGGGAGATTCTGATTGCTAAACATGATTTAGACCTGGAGGCCCACAAAAGAAGAGTACCCCCAAATGTATTCTGCTTTACTAGATTGGATGGAAGCTAATGAAAAAGCTTCTTCTACATGTATGTTTTTCTTTTTAATTCTGTATTTGGATTAAGGCCTTAAGTAGGATGATGTCATCCTGGTATGTCATCCTTGGAATTACATTGCTTCTTAAAATTACTCAAACCACTTGGGATAGTTTTGTATATTAACCTTTTACTTCTCTTCATTTTTTTTTCAAGTAGCCTGTGATTCTCTGGTTGATACCGTGTTCAATACTGTGTGGACCTTGGGCTGCCGACCTTTTATGAATAGCCAACGTGCAGCGTGCATCTGTGCAGAAGAGGAGAAAGAAGAGTTGTGAAAAAGAGGTGCTCCCTTCCTGGTTTTGAGTGACGCCACAGCTGTCAGTCTCTGAGAGGGTAGTGTGGCAGATGTGTCTCATCCTTGCTTCCAAAAGTTTGGATACCACAAAGCAAGAGAAAGAAAACCTTGTTCTACAGCTGGAAAGTGAGTCCCATCCTTTGAGGAGAATTGGAAAAAAGCCATGGAAATATTTGAAGACTATTCTTCATTTTAACACTGGATGCCCCAACCAAGACATATTGTCTGGAACTCAGTTCTTAAAGACTAAAATAAAGACGAAAATACTGGGATTCCTGGACTGGGTAATTACATTCTTAAGTGAAATTTTACAGAGTTCAACCATTTGCGAGGCAAGGACTTTCCTCTGGTCCATATCTTAGTTGCCAGTCAGCATCTCATATTTAATAAAGTGTACTTTTTAGAAAAGAGATGATGAATTCCATTATCTCCAATGTGCTTCCATTTCATTTAGAAGAGAACAGAACCCATCTCGGTAAGTTCCACCAATGATAACCATCATTCTCACTGGCTGAAGAGATAAGAACAGGCGGGCAAAGTCAGAGACTTACCTGGTTGAGGCCATTGGAGGTGGAGATCAGATGTTGTTAGAGGTTCCATTTTTTCCTTCAGTGAACTATTCCTGCTGATATTCCCAATTCCTAAGTGGTATTAGTGTCATGTTAAGATCTGAGAAGCACTTGGTAAAAATTGCGACTGAAGAAAGCCAGGAAAAGTCCCTGAAATCTGAGGAGACACAAATGGTCAATCCCTAAACTATGGTTCTCTACCCTGACTGCAGATTAGAAGCACCAGAGGAGCATTAAAAAACAAAGCATCTCTGGGGGTGGTGTCTCCCTATTGGTGTTTTGCAAAGGCTCCACACCTGATTCTGATGCCCTGGGAAGGCTGAAGTCCTAAGGTCAGGAACTGGCAAGTGAAGCTCATGGGCCAAATCAGGCCTAACACCTGCTTCTGTGAAGTTTTATTGGACCACAACCATGCTCTCATTTGTTTATGGCCACTCCTGTGCTACAACCTCAGACTTGAATAGTTGTGACAGACTGTATGGCCAGAAAGCCTAAAACGTTTACCATTTGGCCCTTGACAGAAAAAGTTGGCCAACTCCTGACCTGGGTCGTTCTCTTTTCCCTTCCTTTTGTTAATTTTACTGGTTCGTTAAGAATTGTTGATGATAGCCATTTCTAAAAAGAAAAAGAAGAAAAACTGTTTCCCGATCTGTAAAGCCATAAAATTAATTGGCACATTAAGAAATTGGATTTAATTGCATAAAAAATTTATCCCTGTGGTTTATAATATTTATTTCAATAAAATGTATTAAGCATCTACCTATGTAATAGAGTATGGTATAATTTTACACCTTTTTCTATTGCTTCATTAGTCTGAGGGCATAGGATGCCAAATAACAGGGCATACGGTACCAAATTTTAACTTTGTCTATAGTTCAGTCATTGAACAACTTAAGCATGTTAATAAATTTTTTTTAAAAAGATTTATTTATTTATTTTAGAGAGGGGTGGGGAGGAGGGATAGGATAAGGGAGGGAGAATCTTAAGCAGACTCCATGCTGAACAAAGCCCAAGGCAGGGCTTGATCTCACAACCCTGAGATCACAACCTGAGCCAAAACCAAGAGTCAGATACATAACCGACTGTGCCACTGAGGCACCTTGGACGTTAATAAGTTTATTAATATTTATTAATTGAATATATTTCACTTAATATAAAAATATCAAAAGAAAACGTCGTGCAAGAGGAAAATCAAATAGTAATTTTTAGTACACACATATTGATAAACTTCCGAATCCCCTAAAACTATTCTGTGTTTGAATTGAAATTTCAGAGCGGGATGGGGGGAGAAAAAGGGGATAAAAAAGAAAAAGAAAAAAAATTTCAGAGCATAATTATTATTTACATATTTAAGGAATCATTGGATATTTAAGTCATAATTTTCAAGCAACTATTTAATTTACTTTAAGTTTGTAGTTTGAAATATCATACCCAACTCTTGATTTTAGTGGTCCCACTGCATCCTATACTAGGTGTTTTATTGTAGGAAAGAAATGTGGAAAGTGGGGTGAACTGCTACTCTTTGGCATCAGGAGGATGAAGCCCCATGTGGGTCAGGGCATCAGTAGTGAAGTGACCTCTCCTGACCCAGGGGCCAGACTCAGAATGAGTCAGTTCTGAGAGTCGGTCTAAACCCACAGTGTGAGGTTTAAAGAAGTGCCATGTTCTAGGGTGTTGACTGATGTTCTCAGAGGCCATGGGGAGAAGCTCCACAGAGGTGGGCAGCCCAAAGCCAGGAGTTGGGTGTTGGGTGCTCTTAGTCCTCCCAGTCGATGCTGATGGGGCCACCTGTCAGCATCTGGCTCTGTGGACCAGCTGCGTCCTCTCTGTCCACTGCCTCACGACGCATTCTCCGGTGGCAGCCCTGGGCACAGCGGGAATGCTCATCCAGCCGGCCACAAACGAGGACCTGGCAGTGCAGAAACACTTCCTGGAAAGACCATAATTATAATTAATAAATATAGTGACAACAGCTGCCCCTTTCTGGAAGCCAGATGCTGTACCAGATGTTTCATATATAATATCTCATTTCATCTAAACAACAAACCCTTTGAGGTAGATGTTGGCATCCCAATTTTATAGATGAGGAAACCGAGACCTAGTTTAGAGAACTTGCCCAGATTCACACCATTCATCAGGTGGGCACACACACTGAGTCACGTGGTGATCTAAACCCCCACACGCACAGCTCCTGCCTTCGCGCAGGGACAGACCTTCGAGAAGGGAACACCTAATAACGTTAACATCCTCATTCTTCACTTCAAGGTCTAGGAAAAACATCGGTGCTCACACGCTTCAGTGTCAAATAACAAGTCCTTTGTCCAAGCTTCTTCCTATAAGTTACCTCCCAAAGCATGCTGCCTACTTGATGAGGCCATCATGGTTAGCAGCTGTCCTGGAACAGTGATGTAACTGGAAAGGACATGAATTCACTTAAATGCAGCGTGGAAAAGATTGTTGGCTCTTAAACTTCCTTTGGTTTAAATGTTTCAACAGCTCTACTGAAAAAACAAAACAGTCTCCACCTTAACATACTATCTACAGCCTCTTATAACCTCTGTTGTATGTATACTTTTAAAAAAAAGTAGCATATTCAACATGCATGTAAACTGTTATGATAAATGATTTTTCATTATCTTCTTTTTCTATATTTTTCATTTGAATAACTGCTTAATATTGCACTAATTGATATATGGTAGCCCTGTTTGGGGTTTTTTTCTCATTCTCCATGTAACAATTCTCTATAACATCCAACAAATCTTGTTTCTCTTCTTTTGCTTGTTTTTGAGAAATTGTCAGAATTAGAATTTTTAGATAAAAGAATATGATGATTTTATGGCTGTTACTGCATATTATCAGATAACTTTCCAGAAACTATACCCATTTATACTGCCACTGTATACTTCCCCCTATAACTCTGCAAAAGCACTGTGATTTATAATTTTTATCAATTTAATATGCATAAAATAGTGTCTTATAATTATTTTGACATTTTAAGTACTGTTTTCACTGGACAATTCACTCTTTGCCTATTCTGTGAATTTTCTGCCCATATCCTTTGCCATATGACTACCACACAGGTTTTTACAACCATACCTACCCACAACAATTTAAAATTATGATCCTATGTCTGGGTGGCTCAGTCTGTTAGGTGTCTGATTCCCGATCTCAGCCCAGATCTTGATCTCAGGGTTGTGGGTTTGAAACCCACATTGGGCATAGAAATGACTTATAAAATAAAAGTTTTATAAAACATAAAAGAAAATCAAATTATGACCCTATATTATTTTCTTTGAAAAAACAATGATTTTATTGTAAGGGAGGCAGATAACTGTGTTAATACCTTCATGAAGGTAGGTATTAAGCTTCTAGATGGCCAGTTCTACAATGTTTTTCATAGGGGGTAACACAGATCCCTACTGTGGGCTCACAGAGAATGTCAACAAATTGGCAAACCAAGAAAGGACGCTCAGGTCTGGGGGTAGGGGTGGGGGTGTTACAAGGTAAAGGTGTTCAGCTCACCTTGTGGTCTTTGCCCACAAACTTGAAGACAGGGACCTGGAAGTGCTTTGCTAGGTGGTCCCGTGATGTGTACTGCTTCACTGAGTCATCTGAAACACAGCTGAAAGCAGGACAGGAAAGCACATAAGGACTTGATCGTTTCAACAGAGGTGGAAAAACAATCCAGACCAATGTGTTTGGCCCAAAGAAAGGCTAACTGGGTGGAGGAAGTTGGGCTGCATTCAAGCTTTTCGAGAATGAAGGAAAAATGAAATTCCCTCCCTGCAAAGGCATCTTCAGGTACAGCCCTGCTCATTAATACTGCCTTTCCCGTCTCTCATTCTCTGTACCCACAAGCTGGGCACAAGGATCTTGATATGCCAATGCATTGAAGCATTAGCAACAGCAACCACATTTATTTCAAAGATAGCTTTTGAAATGAAGACATCTTTGAAAGGCTGCATTTTCATTTGTAACATATTGCAGGAATCCTGTGTTCACATACTTGATTATGGGGTTGAGAAGGCTTTACTTAATTAGATTTCATAAATATTTATTGGACACCTAATATACACTAACCCCCGAAGGAGGCTTAAAGGTGAGCAAATCCCAATTTGTGCATCACAGAACTGCATAAAGATTTAAGTTCCAGAAGGAATAACTGGTTTTATTGGGAAAGTTCAGTTGCCTGCAAATTGCTCTACTTCTTCTTTCCCCAGATTTAATGCTAAGTTGTAGTTTGATAGGGTTTTGAGGTTTTAATTTCAGGTCTACTGCTAACAGTGACTCATAGGCTCACCTCAGGGTTAGCTGGGAAAAAGAAGTGTTATTGATTCTCGATTTTGAGACCAAGGTTTAGTATTTGATGAACATTTTCTCCTTACAGGCTAGGGATTACACTTGTGTCAACTTTCCCATTCTGAATTTTGAAAGAACAATTTCCACCCCCTGAATGTATTTTCCTTTTTCTGGATACCTAATAGCTCTTGTTTACCAGGCCAGGAAAAAAAACGTAGGGATCAGAAATAAAAGTCTATGAAACTGGATCCTTGCTCCACATGTTTACAGACCACTTTCTAGTTCATTGCTAAGTGCTATTTCAGTGCAGTTGAAAAATCCAATAAAGTTGTTTAAAAATAAGGCATTGTTATTTATATTACCCCTAGTACCATATTCCCCTGAACTGAATAGGATCTAAATATATAACACGGTTTCTGTTATTTCTTGTATTTATGTACTCATTTTCATTTTCCTGAGGTAAAGTTAATTTATATCATCTTTTGATTATGTTCTATAATAAATACCTATCACATATCTAGTCTGTGCAACACACTCTGGCTGGGAGCTGCAGAGGATATAAAGATGAATAATATGGTTTGTGATGTCAAGGAGTTTATAGTCTGGACAAAAATAGTAACATGATATTAAAATGGCTCTTTTTATCTAAGTGCCTCACCATTTCCAATTTATTTATACCCCAAAATACCA